CCCCCTCCCCTTTTAGGGGAAGCCCCAGCAGGCCCCACTTTGGGGGGCGGCGGGGCCTTATGCCCCCCCCCCCCCTTCCTCACCGCCCCCCCCCCGCCCCCCCTCATCCTCCCGCCCGCTCGCCGCAGATGTACCTGCGACTGCAGTGGGTGTCGAGCATGGCCGTCCGTGACGCCGAGTGCCGCTGGCCCTCCGAGTGGAAGTGGCAGGCCACCGACAGCGCCGCCGCCACCAAGCCGTCGGCCAAGGAGAAGCAGTGGCTCGACAGCTGGCTGAAGGCGCCCGCCTTCTTCCGAGACACTTCCGAGACCCTTCGCGGCGGGCTCGCGCCGACGCCGCGGCTGCACGCGGCCGCGGCGGGCGGGACGCCGCCGCCAGCCACCACCACCACCACCGGGTAGAGGCCACCGCAGGTCGTTTCTCACGCCGCCCGCGCGCCCCGCCGCCCCGCGTCTGCAGACCCGCACGCAAGAGTCGCCGCCGGACGAGGTTGCGTTCCTGCAGTACACGTCGGGCTCGACCGGCCACCCGAAGGGCGTGATGGTCGGCACGCGCAACCTCGTCGCCAACATCGACGCCATCGCGCAGGTGCGGATGGCGCAGTCAGAGATGGGCGCCCTCCCGGCAGAGGAGGTCGGCGTCGCCTCGTGGCTGCCGCAGTACCACGACATGGGCCTCATCGGAGGCTGCCTCTCCGCCGCGATCCGCGGCTGGCGCGCCGACCTCACCTCGCCCTTCACCTTTTTGCAGCGGCCCGTCGTCTGGTTGCAGATGATCACGCGCATGAAGGACACGCACCTCGTCCAGTGCACGGCGCCAAACTTTGGGTACGCGCTGTGCATCCGGCGCGTCAAGGGCGACGCGCTGGCGAAGCTGTCGCTCGCGCACTGGAAGGTCGCGATGAACGGCGCAGAGCCGATCCGCGCGTCGACGGTGACCGAGTTCTCCGCGCGCTTCGCGTCGTGCGGCTTCGAGTCGCGCGCGTGGGCGCCGGTGTTTGGGCTGGCCGAGAACTGCCTGTACTGCTGCGGCCGCGCCGAGGAGACGGTCATCCTGCAGGTGGACCGCGCGTGCCTGGGCGTCGGCGA